GGCTTGATCTTCTTCCTTTTTTCTGTAGCAATTTTGAGCAAATTGTTGATTTGTCTGTGAAGTATATGTTATTGAATGTCTCGCCAGCTTCGATCCATGCCTGGGCTTGCAACACGCAAAGTTCTTTGTTTGTCAGACAAATTATCATGGTCCACATACTCCAACACAGTCGTGAAGAAGGCACGACAGCGCCTCTTCCCTTTCAGGAGGCTGAGAAGATTTGGCATGGGTCCTCAGATCCTCAAAAAGTTATACATCTGCACCATTGAGAGCATCTTGACTGGTTGCATCACTGCCTGGTATGGTAACTGCTTGGCATCCGACCGTAAGGAGCTACAGAGGGTAGTGCATACGGCCCAGTACATCCCTGGGGCCAAGCTTCCTGCCATCCAGGACCTCTATACCAGGCGGTGTCAGAGGAAGGCCCTCAAAATGGTCAAAGACTCCAGCCACCCAAGTCATAGACTGTTCTCTCTGCTACCGCACGGCAAGTGGTACCGATGCACCAATTCTGGAACCAACAGGACCCTGAACAGCTTCTACCCCCAAGCCACAAGACTGCTAAACAGTTAGTTAAATAATTCACCAATAGCTACCCGGAATATCTGCATTGACCCTTTTTTGCACTAACACTTTTGACTCATCACATAAGCTGCTGCTACTGTTTATTATCTATCCTGTTGCCTAGTCACTTTATCCATACCTATATGTACATACTGTATCTACCTCAATTGCCTCGTACCCCTGCACATGGACTCAGTACTGGTACCCTGTGTATATAGCCAAGTTAATACCTCGTACCCCTGCACATGGACTCAGTACTGGTACAGCCAAGTTATCATTACTCATTGTGTATTTATTATTTTTCTATTATTACTCTAAGTTTTCTCTCTGCGTTGGAAAGGGCCTTAAGGAAATTATTTGATTTCATTTGATTTGCCAGGGTGGGCTATGCAAACGACTTTGACTGTGTCCCAATCCGAAGGCAGCATCATGTGACTGTGTCCCAATCCGAAGGCAGCATCATGTGACTGTGTCCCAATCCGAAGGCAGCATCATGTGACTGTGTCCCAATCCGAAGGCAGCATCATGTGACTGTGTCCCAATCCGAAGGCAGCATCATGTGACTGTGTCCCAATCCGAAGGCAGCATCATGTGACTGTGTCCCAATCCGAAGGCAGCATCATGTGACTGTGTCCCAATCCGAAGGCAGCATCATGTGACTGTGTCCCAATCCGAAGGCAGCATCATGTGACTGTGTCCCAATCCGAAGGCAGCATCATGTGACTGTGTCCCAATCCGAAGGCAGCATCATGTGACTGTGTCCCAATCCGAAGGCAGCATCATGTGACTGTGTCCCAATCCGAAGGCAGCATCATGTGACTGTGTCCCAATCCGAAGGCAGCATCATGTGACTGTGTCCCAATCCGAAGGCAGCTACTTGCTGCCTAGCTGTCAGCATCATGTGATAATGCATTCCACAGAGCGCAACGTTTGTTTGTTTACATTGTAGCAGCATGAGCTACTTGTGCAATTCAGTGAACAAATATCCCAAAAAGGAAATATCTTACACAAATAACAAGTAAACATTTAGCAGACGCTCTTATCCAGAGCGACTTACAGGAGCAATTAGGGTTAAGCGCCTTGCTCAAGGGCACAGAGAGATTTTCACCTAATCAGCTCGGGGATTCAAACCAGCAACCTTTCGGTTACTAGTCCAATGCTCCTAACCTCTAGGCTACCTGCCGCCCCAAGTAATACATTTGATCTCCTCAGTACCTGAATGAAGTTGACACCTACCAGAATAATTATCCTACGGTATAGGGTCCTCCTCTCACATACAGTATTGCTTGGTCATCATTGTGGACATGACAGGTAAGCTTGCATGCATGATATCATACAGGCTACAATTTTTTTAAATGGCTAAATAAGCTATTTTACTGACTGTTTAAGAATGATTAATAGCCAGAATAGTGGTGTTTCAAGTAATATTGGGCTGCTAATGTTTTTCTGCTTCTAATGAGTAGGCTTGCATTGTGATTAATTCATACAACTATTACACCCCTGCATATTATTAATTGACAATGATGTTCAAGATAACAGTTTTATATTCATTGACAACTAATATTGAAAGGTAATATGATGCAATCTACCTAGATTAGAAGATCTAAAATACTTCATCCTAATGTAAGATAAATGCATTGGATAGAAAACAAACACTGGCATGTGATAAAGGATAACATGTCCAATATAATTATATAAATGTAGGTACCCCGTTCACTAAAATGGTTCGCTCCTACAGACAGTGAGTCACGTGGCCATGGCTTGCTATATAAAGCAGGCAGACAGGCATCGAGGCATTCAGTTACTGTTCGAACATTAGAATGGGTAAAACTAGTGACCTAAGCAACTTTAAGCGTGGTATGATCGTCGGTGACAGGCGCGCCGGTTCCATTATCTCAGAAACAGCCGGGCTCCTGGGCTTTTCACACATGATAGTGTCTAGGGTTTAGAATCGAGCAAGATAACAGGCGAGCCACAAACAGGCAAATAATGGCGCAGTACAACAGTGTTGCGCAGAACGGAATCTCGGAAACACACAACTCGTCGGTCCTTGTCACGGATGGGCTATTGCAGCAGACAACCACATAGGGTAGCTTATACACATTATGAAATTGCTTATTCCAGTTACTAATAAGCATGCACCCATTAAGAAAATCACTGTAAAAATTGTTAAATCCCCTTGGATTGATGAGGAATTGAAATATTTGTATGGTTGAAAGGGCAAATAAGTCTGGCTGCATAACCGATTGGCAAACTTACTTAAAATTGAGAAATCATGTGACTAAACTGAATAAAAATAAGAAGATACTACACTATGAAACAAAGATAAATGACATAAAGAATGATAGTAAAAAGCTTTGAGCACCTTAAATGATATTTTGGGCAAGAAGGCAAACTCAGCTCCATCATTCATTGAATCAGATTGCTCATTCATCACAAAACCAACTGATATTGCCAATTACTTAAATTATTTTTTCATTGGCAAGATTAGCAAATTTAGGCATGACATGCCAGCAACAAACGCTGACACTACACATCCAAGTATAACTGATCAAATTATGAAAGACAAGCATTGTAATTTTGAATTCCGTAAAGTGAGTGTGGAAGAGGTGAAATAATTATTGTGGTCTATCAATGACAAGCCACCGGGATCTGACAACTTGGATGGAAAATTACTGAGGATAATAGCAGACTATATTGCCACTCCTATTTGCCACGTCTTCAATCTAGGTCTACTAGAAAGTGTGTGCCCTCAGGCCTGGAGGGAAGCAAAAGTCATTCCACTACCCAATAATTGTAAAAAACCCTTTACTAGCTCAAATAGTCAACATATCAGCCTGTTACCAACCCTTAGTAAACTTTTGGAAGAAAATGGTGGTGACCAGATACAATGCTATTTTACTGTAAACAAATTGACAACAGACTTTCAGCACGCTTATAGGGAAGGACATTCAACAAGCACGGCCCTTACACAAATGACTGATGATTGGCTGAGAGAAATTGATGATAAAAGGATTGAGGGAGCTGTTTTGTTAGACTTCAGTGCGGCTTTTGACATTATCGATCATGCTGGAAAAACATATGTGTTATGACTTTACACCCCCTGCTATATTGTGGAGAAAGAGTTACCTGTCTAACAGAACTCAGAGGGTGTTCTTTAATAGCAGCCTCTCCAACAAAATCCAGGTAGAATCAGGAATTCCCCAGAGCAGCTGTCTAGGCACCTTACCTTTTTCAATCTTTACTAAAGACATGCCACTCACTGGCCTTGAGTAAAGCCAGTGTGTCTATGTATGTGGATGGCTCAACACTATACACGTCAGTTACTACAGCGAGTGAAATCACTGCAACACTTAACAAATAGCTGCATTTAGTTTCAGAATGGGTGGCAAGGTATTAGTTAGTCATAAATATTTATAAAACTAAAAGCATTGTATTTGTGGCCAATCATTCACTAAACCCTAATCCTCAACTAAATCTTGTAATAAATAATGTGGAAATTGAGCAAGTTGAGGAGACTAAATTGCTTGGAGTAACCCTGGATTGTAAAATGTCATAGTCAAAACATGTTGATATAACAGTAGCTAAGATGGGGAGAAGTCTGTCCATAATAAAGCGCTGCTCTGCCTTCTTAACAGCACTATCAACAAGGCAGGTCCTACAGGCTCTAGTTTTGTCGCACCTGGACGCCTGTTCAGGCGTTTGGTCAGGTGCCACAAAGAGGGACCTCGGAAAAGTACAATTGGCTCAGAACAGGGCAGCTCATCTGGCCTTTAAATGTACACAGAGAGATAACATTAATAATATGCATGTCAATCTCTCCTGGCTCAAAGTGGAGGAGAGATTGACTTCATTGCTACTTGTTTTTGTAAGAAGTGTTGACAAGCTGAATGCACCAAGGTATCTGTTTAAACTACTAGTAACTCATGCCAGCAGTAAAATTAGATTTAAAAAACAGATAAAAATACACCTTATGGAACAGCAGGGACTGTGAAGCAACACACACACACAGGCACAGACACACATGATAAGACACACACTCTACACACATGTACACATAGATATGTGGTAGTAGAGTGGTGGCCTGAGGGAACACACTTAATGTGTTATGAAAAGTGTTATGAAATGTAATGTAATTTAAAGTAATAAAGTGTATATAACTGCCTCAATGTTGCTGAACCCCAGGCAGCAGCTAATGGAGATCCTTAATAAATACAAAAATACTAGTCACTATTATCCTAACGCCATCTTGACATCTCAAGATTCCTGATTCTTAAACATGATATTCCTAGTGTAGGTTTTGGCAGGTCATCGAGGAGGGCTGTAGGCTACTTACGCAATATCCACGTGATGGGGTTGGCGGTGACGAGTATTCGCCCCAAACTCCAACACATGCGCTGGAATAACATTTTTCGTTTTGTTACACCGCACTGATACACGCCGAAGGACGTCCGGTATCGACAACAGTTCCTGAAGTTTATCTCCTTGGCGCGCTCTCTCTTCCACAGAATGGAACATCCCAAATCAAAGCCTGTCGCGGTGAACGGAAAAGAAGCTAAAAGTGATGAAGCTTCGGTTACCAACTCCACGGTAGAGTCGCCCGCGTTCTGCGGCGGCTGTCTGACGCGGATCAGGGGTTGGATCCCCGTGGATTATAAAGAAGAGATTGGCCAAATTCTGAAACTAGCGGGACCGGTGGTGAGTCTGCAGGCTAAGAACGTTGTCTCTAATAATTACCGGGTGTTGCTGAACTGTCATTTCTTTAGTTCATACCAAAGTAACTGTTGCAGTGATTGTTCCGTTGTTATTGGAAGATGGTGATAATAATCATTTTTTTCTGCGTTTAGTTGGTCCAAATATTTTCTTATATATATATATATATACGGGTGTTACTGAACTGCTATTCTTCTGCTCATATGAGGCAGAATGATGTTGATCATGTCCTCTGTTCTCTCCAGGTTATATCCCAGCTGATGTTCTTTCTGATCAGTTTTGTCAGCACGGTGTTCTGTGGTCACCTGGGGAAGACTGAGCTGGCTGCGGTAGCGCTGGCTATAGCGGTGATTATCTATCTATCTATCTATCTATCTATCTATCTATCTATCTATCTATCTATCTATCTATCTATCTATCTATCTATCTATCTATCTATCTATCTATCTATCTATCTATCTATCTATCTATCTATCTATCTATCTGTCTGTCTGTCTGTCTGTCTGTCTGTCTGTCTGTCTGTCTGTCTGTCTGTCTGTCTGTCTGTCTGTCTGTCTGTCTGTCTGTCTGTCTGTCTGTCTGTCTGTCTGTCTGTCTGTCTGTCTGTCTGTCTGTCTGTCTGTCTGTCTGTCTGTCTGTCTGTCTGTCTGTCTGTCTGTCTGTCTGTCTGTCTGTCTGTCTGTCTGTCTGTCTGTCTGTCTGTCTGTCTGTCTGTCTGTCTGTCTGTCTGTCTGTCTGTCTGTCTGTCTGTCTGTCTGTCTGTCTGTCTATCTATCTATCTATCTATCTATCTATCTATCTATCTATCTATCTATCTATCTATCTATCTATCTAATCAATTTTTCTGATCTGGCTGGGTTGGCCGCTGTCTATAGCAATATAGAATACATCTATTTATCTAAGATACATCTGTTTATCTTTGACAGCTGTTGGTAATTATAATAGGTTCATAGCAGTTATTTCTCAGTCAAATAGAAAAGGATGTCTCTTTACCCCAGATCTTAGTTGATATGCTTTATGTAATGGGATGTATTTTATTTAACTTTCCTTAATTTAATAAATGGAAGTTAATTTAAACACTATAGCCTATCAACAGTGTTCTTTGGATAGACAGAAGATAGACCTGGTTCATATGTACCTTCCTGTTCTGACTGTCTCCAGGTGATCAA